AGTCCCTAGAGTGAGATGCATCCCAAGGCTGTATGACGGCATGTCCGTCTCATGTAGGCCACTCGGCAGATCAGCAGGGGCCTCAACGCCTCCTTGCTTGGGACCACCTCCTCTCCGCCCCCACCACGTCGTCCGGCACCCCCGCCTCGTCGGGCACCACCACCTCGTGCGACACCAGGGCCTCGCTCGTACTACCCTGGCTCCACATAATCAGGCATGTGTGCCAAACGCTGATCCTCTCGGGCTCGCTGCAGTGTCCGGGCAGCCAACTCTACGAATCGACGGCTGTCATCCTGCAAGGTGGCCACAGGATCGCCGACATGATCCTGCATCTGCAGTCCCATCTGATAGACTGTATGTAGTCCAATAGCCTGCACAACGTATAAAATATAAACTACATATATTGCACTAAGTTACAGTTATATAATTAATAATAACAGAAAACATACCAGGGCCTCGTGTCGCCCGGCGTATGGAACGTACCGACCGCAAGCCTGATGAATAGGGTTCCCGATAAAAAGTCGGGTAACGTGGCGGTACCAGGACATATACCTCTGAATAGCCACCGCCTGGATCTGTGTAGGTGGGGGCGGAATCATCCGATCTCGCTGGTCCCAAGTACGAATCTGCGCCGCTAACCATGCTATAAATGTGTCGTCCGCCCTGGAACGATCATCCCTCTGATAATGTGTAGGCTCCCATATAGGCCCCCTCGGTATATACTGCGGGCGGCCAATTTGGCAAAGTACCCGCACCGAGGCATGATGCTCCACAATATCGAGGCATATGAGCGGGACAAAAGTGCTCCAAATCAGTCGGCCGACCGAGCAATAATCTGGCAGGCCAGCTATCAAATCATCACTGTATGGCGTCCAGATGAACTATCAAATAAGAACACAAAACGTGAGTATGCGCAACACTAAGTTAATCTATACCAGGTAAGTTTAGGTACATATTTACCTGTGCGCCCTCCAGCATATCCATCACATCCCTGCAGAGGGGGAGATTATGATGAGCATCATACTCTCGTGAAAGTGTATGACGGAGAACCCACCTCCTGGCTAGAGGGAGAAACGGAGGTGCTACATTAGGAGGTAATTGTGGTAGAGGTGGCTGAAACTGCAAGAACCGCTCCCAGGCCCAAACCTAACATACAAAGTGGACGTAAGGTTTAAGATAAATTCTAACTAGGTAGAATTGGAACTAATGAACAGATTATTCGAATATGTTGTCACCTGTAGAAGCGGCAGAAAACCACAAACATCACTCTGGGTGCCCATGCTCGCCCGACACATCTGCCTGTACATGTAGGCGAGAACAGCAGCACCCCAGCTATAATAGGGTAACTCATCTAGCAGCTGAATATGATGAAGAAATCTCAGGCTGACTAGGTTCCCCGAAGTGTTTGGGAACAAGACCCCCCCTCCCCCCAAATAGAAGAAGCAACAACAACCTCGTATACCGGGTAATATGTAACTCCTTTGTATCGCCGGTGATCTCGGGGTGGAGTACCTCCAGGTACTATCTAATAGGGGTCAAACTCATCCGACTGGCCGCCGACAATGCAGTCTCGTCCTGTGGCCTGAAACCCGTGAGCAGCTGCAGCATGTCCAAATAATCTGCACGCGACATAGATATAATAGCAATAGGCAGTGAAACGGCCATGCCATCAACGGGCAGGCCATATAAAACCTCCACGTCCTGCAGCGTGATGGTGGCCTCGCCAATGGGCAGGTGGAAAGTGTGCGTCTTCGGTCGCCACCGCTCAATCAACACCGTGATCAAAGCCCAGTCGAGCTGCATCCGCCCAATCTGAATAATCCTATAGAATCTCGTATCCTGCAGGCGCTCGACTACACGGGGATGGAGATCTCTATCCCTCAAAAAATCCCACAGGTCGTCCACTCTCCTAGTGCGGAGAGTCTGGGACAGTAACTCTCCGTCCCATATATGGGCGGACCTATGATCGCCCTGTAGCACTAATAGCTCACGAGAGTAAGGTCCGGGATGTATAGGCGGCACGTCCATGTCGTCAACTGTAAATTAAACAACATTAGTTATATGTTTAATCTGTAAATGGACAGGGTATATATATCTATTGGGTTCCAGACTCGATATTTGAGGCCCAGTTGCACCAAACTATCATTAATAATTATGTGTGTCAAATTCAATATTTTTATAATTTTGTGTGTTTGTTTTATAATTTAAATTCTTAATTTTTAATTATTTAATTCTACACAGTATATATACCTATGGGTCCTAGCTCGATATTTGAGGCCCAGTAGCACCAAACTATCATGAATAATTATGTGTGTCAAATTCAATATTTTTATAATTTTGTGTATTTATTTTATAATTTAAATTCTTAATTATTAATTATTTAATTGTACAAAGTATATATACCTATGGTTCCAGGCTCGATATTTGAGGCCCAGCAGCACCAAACTATCATGAATAATTATGTGTGTCAAATTCAATATTTTTATAATTTTGTGTGTTTGTTTTATAATTTAAATTCTTAATTTTTAATTATTTAATTGTACAAAGTATATATACATATGGGTTCCAGACTCGATATTTGAGGCCCAGTAGCACCAAACTATCATGAATAACTAATATTTTTATAATTTTGTATGTTTGTTTTAAAATTTAAATTCTTAATTTTTAATTATTTAATTGTACAAAGTTTGTACTTTCATCTACCAGTATAACAGATACTTAAACTACAGGGATTCTACGCTAAAATACTCTACACTTTACTACGCTAAAAGGTTCTACACTTTACTACGCTAATAAATAATCTAAACTAAATATAAACACCAAATACATTTTAATCACATAACATTCACAAAAATACATATAACATACTAGTTTCGCAAATAAAACATAAAACGAAATGGAAATACTAATATCTAAATCCGGATATTAACAGAAAAAATTATTTCTCAATTTTACATTTTTTTAGAACACTAATATCAAAGTCCGGATAAATATAACATACTAGTTTCGCAAATAAAACACAAAACGACATGGAAACACATTCAAATCAACTAATATGCATTATTAGACAAGTTTCGACATAAAATAAATCGAAATACCTCGATTTAGTATTTTCGAAAAGTAAATTGGCTGAAAATTTGAGTCCGAAAGAGTGAAACCACAATAATACGATGCTCTACTACGATGTGGGACCTACGTTCTTAGGTTTTGTGTGACGGGAGGGGCCCACAATTTTTTTTAGGAACGACAAGGGGTGGGGTGGGGTGGGGTGGGGGACCAGAATCCAAATCGAAAGAAGTAAAAAAATGGGGGAGGAGGAGTTCTGGTCTTCGGGGGAAGACGAAGGGGATTATTTAATCAGGGTTATAGCGTGCTAATTCTTTGCGCTATAGGTATAGCGTGTGATTTCTATACGCTAAACCTGGCAGTCAAATCGTCAGGGGATATATCGCACTTATTCCTTGCGCTATACCTTAACGACAAAAGTTACCGTTAAGGTATAGCGCGGCGAATTTCGGCGTTATATATAGAAAAGTAACTTTATTTTTACACTCATTAACGTCACATTTGTCCAAAAAGACAATAAAAAGGTTTCGTACTCTGCTCCTCTAGGCCTAAAAAACATAGATTTAAATTAGGGGAAAAATCATAAACAGTCAGATTTACAATTAGTAATTGAAAAATAACCACAAATTCAAAACTAAACAAAATTTAGCCATTTTTTATGTAAAAATAAAATCTGAACAAAAACACCCTAAAAATCCGAAAAAATTCCAGATTATGCTAGAGTTTGAATTTTTTACATATGAGATTCCAGCATAATGTTGCTCGAGTTCCAATATAATATGCTGGAAGTTCATATGCAGGAGCTCCAATATCCACCATATTATACTGGAACTTTCTGTGTGCTGGAGTTCTAACATAATATATTGGAAGTTCATACGCAGGAGCTCCATAACCCAATATATAATGCTGAAACTTTCTGTGTTTCAATAAAATAGTGACTATTATTTAATGACTTTGCGAGCGCTGATTATTTTTTAATTACCAATCCGAAAATTGACTAGCCCGTAATATTTTCACTTTAAATTAGTTAGACTGTTGCATTGTTATGTACTTAGTTTATTAAAGTTGGCCCAAAAACCATTTCCACTCATTTTTCAGCAATCCTATCATTATCCAGTGCTGGCGAAGATATAAGATCTATATAGCCAGCACCCCTTAGTTATGCACCTTATTATTTCATCTCCGAAGAGAAAGAATGATTTGCCCGGTAACTTCTATACAATATGTCACCATATATGTTTAACAAAAATACAATGAACATGAAACAAAGGACAAGTTAAAATATGTGTAATGGATCAAGTCTCCGTGGAAATAAGTTGGGCCTGGACTTTGTCCATCCTATCAAAACCATGTTACGCTAAATAGCACGGTCTAGCCAGTTTTCGGACTGGTTATTCAAAAATAGTCAGCGTTTACCAAGTCAATAAAAAATAGCTATTATTTTGTTGCAACAGAGACCGATTCAGCATAATATACTGGAGTTCGGTGCACCTGTGTATGAACTTCCAGCATATTATGCTGGAACTCCAACACACGGAAAGTTCCAGCATAATATACTGGAGATTCGAGCACTTGTGTATGAATTTCCAGCATATTATACTAGAACGGTATAATTTGCTGGAACTCCAGTATATAATGCTGGAGTTCTAGTGTACATATGCTAGAACTCCATCATATTATGTTAGAGTTCCAGTATACTTATCCTAGAACTCCAGTATAATATGCTGGAGTTCAAGTATACTTATGCTGGAACTCCAGCATAATATACTGGCTCATTTTCCGGGTTTTGAATAGTGTTTTCGCACAAATTTATCTTTACAAAAAAATGGCTAAATTTCGATTACTTTTGAAACTGGACTATTTTTGAAACACACCCGTAAATATGGCTATTTTTGAATTTCTCCCCTAAAGCTTGTTGAAATGCGACAAATGCTGTACTAGTGTAGCTTTTTGGTCAACGTCTTCCTTCCAACTGAGTAGAATAACAGACAAAGTGGCATCGTCAGTCTGTATCTCTTCGTCAATGGATGCTACACTATCAAGCTCCCATTCTCTCTCTAGGTTTTCAGAGACTATTCCCTCTGCTTTTCAGTCCATTCGACCAACTAACAAGCCTGGTTCGGGGTCTCTGCGAACGAGTTACTTCGGCTGCCGCTTCCTCAACCTGACGCTTGCCCGTGCCCAACAAGAGGATGACAATGATAATGGGTTTCCTGTTTCTGAAGGCACTTTTTCTTGGTCACAGGTAACTAACTCGCCTTGTCGTAGGATAGAGCTAACTTTTCCCTTGTACAGCATCTAAAATTGTTCCTTTTCTTACTCTTTTTCCTTCTTGTAACGGAGTATTAGATGGGAAAAAGGGAGAAATAGCGGCAGCTTTATATAGATGATATAAATAGACAATAGACCTTGACCTTTTTGACACCATTCAATATTAAGTATTACTACTAATTTAAACACCTTAGATGCACTTCGTCTTTGGCACGGTGAATCATGCTTCTCTTAATCTCTTTCCACCATATAGTCCATAACTGGAAATTCGAAATAGATTCTTCAGTTTTGTTGTGAATTGTGATGGCCTCTCTCATATTCTAAAGGATAATTCAGATCAAAGACAAGGAAATGAGGTTAGTTTGGATCAATCAACAAAGTCCGTTACACCCCCTGATCTCAGCTCGACTGGTGGAGGTACACGGGCTGGGCTTTTCCGAACTCCCATATCTGGAGGTGTACAAAGTGCAACCTCAGCTCATGGCCTACCTAAACCTGCCTTAGCTGTTCGCAACTTAATGGAGCAGGTAACTCCCCTGTTACCAGATATCTTGTTGTGTTCCTCACAAGTTTGTAAAGCTAAAAGCTTTCTTGAGTTTTCCTCCACCCTGTATCTCCATCATTGTAGGCTAGGTTTGCTCATTTATGCACCGTTATGTCTCGGATGCATCATCGACGAGAAGGTTACCCATTTGGCTCACTCGTAGATTTTGCACCAGATCCCATGGGACGTAAGTCACTGACCTCTTTTTGTTTTTTTTTTAAAGAAAAGGTAACATATTTGTATGTAAATAAAAAGACTACATAGAAACTGTAGAGTCACCCATAATTACAAGGTGAAGTACAGGAGGAACTCTCCTAATACTTTTTCTTGTCATAAGGATTCCAATACATCAATAATGGATTCATTATCTTCCAAGTATTCTTCTTTACACCAAAAAAAAAAAAAAAGACTAAACATTTCAATTTTCATCTTCTGGATGTTGTTGGATCTATCTTCAAAGCACCTTCAGTTTTTTTCTTCCCAAATTGACCACCAGATGCAAGCAGGGACAATCTTCCATCTTTCTTTATGACTGGAAAGGTTGCCTTCTCTGTTCCAACATGCTAGAACTTCAAGAATTCTTCTTGACATAACCCACAATAATCCCCTCAAATTGATGAACATCCTCCATAATTGTGAAGTCACCCTACAGTGCAAAAAACGATGACTGGTTGAATCTGCCTCCTCTCCACATAAGTAACATCTCGAACAAAGTAGGTATCCTCTGACCAAGTTATCCTAGGTTAAGACTGCCTCCTTGAGTGTTACAATTGTGACATAGAGGTAATCGTCTTGGTGATTTGAGCTTCACTGTAGCATATCAGTACCACTAAACAATTTATCCAAATGCTTCTCCTGTTTGACAAGACTTTGCCTGAAAAACCAAGCCTAATAAGATATGGCTAAATTTCAAAATAAATTAAATACTCTAGCTAGTTTAATGATCCTGACATTGTTTAAAAGCTGAACATGGAATACAAAAAGAATAATAATAATAATAATAAAAGAAAAGCAAATCTTGGTGTGAAATACTTGTTCAAGGTTATCTCCATCAAATCCATCTCCCGATAATGTTCCAACATGGATTTGTCATACTTTCAACAGACCCAATATTTTCATTCTCACCGTTAGCTATACACACAAGGAACCTGCTAGCTGACCCTAGATGCACACTGGTTGTACAGGTTAGTGTTGTATTTCCACAGACATTCTTTATGTTTGACTGAAATATTCTGTCTTTGAGTTTCTTGAACTTTTGATTTTTAGATCCCGGGTTGGAGTTGTTTATCTAATGCAAGGGTAACAATATTCGGTGATGTCTATCCTCTCCCGGAAGATCAACAGGTAGCTGCCTTCTTCAAATTTTAGTGATTTATTCATAAACTATTGCCGAATAAACTGGTTCTTACTCCAGCAGGAATTTGTTAGATAAAGGCTTTCTTTTGTCGTCCTGAAATTGTTAATGTTGCTTATAGACTCGTGACCCTGGAGACATTTGGACTTTCTCCTAAGTATCTTGTGTATATCTCCTTTACAATCTGTATAATAGTAATCAAAACAATAAGAAGAAAAGCATCGGGTCGATAGAGAGAGAGAGAGGTGCACATCCAGATGAAGCATAAACTTTCTTTCATTATGCCTCTATGTATTTCCGTCAGTTTCCCTTTTGACTCGGGAATAGTTATTGTCCCTGTTGGTTTATCGCATTTGACTTGGACTAATTGTGTTCTCTGTTGTTTGATCCTGCATTCAGATTTCAGTGGCATGTTGGTTTCTCTAATTTTAGTGTTTAATATCAGAGGCTCAGAGCTGCACATGCCTTTTTGTATTTTGTTCTTTCTTCTGAATTTCGGTAATAATATCTCCGATTTGTAAATGTCCGAATGATCTTCGAAAACAATATCGGTTGTTTCCATAGGAATGGGCACATAAGCAGTATATATCAAAACATCAGCAAGGAGCTTCTCAACAATGGGGAAACTTCTATTACTTTCGCATGCAAAATATAAGGTTATCACTTTTTTTTCCTTTGAGTAGCTCTTTCCTCGTATAGCATCTTTATCTTTTGGTTCTACTGTTGAATGCATTTTCTCCTTGAGACTTGAGTTGCCAGTTGCACATTCTGGCAATATGGTGAAATTCTTCATTAGAAAATGGATTGTGTGATATCTCAGCACCTTCTAATACCTACAAAAAGAAAAGAAAAGAAAAAGGTGTCTGTGAACTCAGATTTATCATACTTAGTTGTAAGCCTCCATTCTTATGCAACCTTTTTGGTGTCTCATATGAGTCTTTATTTTTACAGTGGGACTGCTTTATTTGGATGATATCAGCTCTATTACATGAAAATTCTTTACTGTCTGTAACAGCTATAATGAGTTCTTTTGCTGCCAAATATTTCCTCATTAGTAAACCTGGTGTTGACCCAAATGGTTTTGAATTATGTTGGTGTTGAGAAATAGTACAAGTATAGAGATGTTGCTTACTCTAAAATGCTAGGGGAAACTAGAAAACTTTCTGTCTGTTGGCATTACCCACTTGCCAACAGTTGAGTCTCTTGCATCTTAAATCAGATAATTATGTGTAGCTACACGTTTGGTGTGTTTTTATTGTTCTTGTATACATAGTCGTAATCTGCGTGCCTTAAGCAACTTTACTGGTAACTACTTCCTTTAGAACATCCATGTAAAATTTACTTTTAGTTGTACCCATTCTTTTTGCACTCTATTTGCCTCAATTTGTATACATATGCCAAATTTCAACACAATTGATCTCTAAACTATTAACTATTTGGCAGTGCACAAGATCTTCTAAGGGCTTGTCTTACTTTGTTGTGGATGTTCGTTTAGGCTACCCACTTCGAGCTTCTATATTGGCCCCATCATTTTGTTTCCCTCAGCCGATTATTTTGTTGCAAATCATAGTACATCAATAGGAAGATTCAATCCACATGTTGCACTTTCCTTTAGCCAATGTATTTGTAAAAATCAAGTTTTGTGTTGTTGCTAAGATGATTAGCAATTCTCTAGCTAATACCACTAACCGGCCTTGTCACCTACAACAGTGATATATATTTCATTGGAGGCTTTGGAACAGTTGCTTGGGTGGATGTCAAGGATTATGAAACTTTGCAGCCTGACAAGATTGCTATTGATGGAGGTGAACAAAATCTTAAGGTGTGCTTTTGGCATTTTGAGAAATCGGTGACATTTAGGCTACTTAGATTAATGTTTTTATGCAGCTATATCAGTGGCGTATCTAGAGTATTGTTACTGGTTCCCGAGAACCCAGTAACTTTTGCGTAGACGCTATCTTTCTATTAAGAAATCCACTAAATATTTATAAATATCTAACTGTGAACCCAGTTATTATTGTATATTTGAAATTACGGTAGGAACCCATAAATTTCAAATCATGGATCCGCCTCTGAGCTATATGTATCAAGGTATTTGTGGAAATAGCAGCTCATAAGTTCCTCTTTCTCCTTCGTTTTTTCGGAGTAAGTCTGAAAACAAGTTGGTTTTTCTTATAGGAGCTAAATGCAATTTTTTCAAAGCCTCTAAAAGATCTCTTGTCGCGAGAAGCTGAGATGGATGATGCTGCCATAATATCAGTAGATAGCAAGGGAACTGATATCCGTGTCCGCCAGGGTGCACAGGTAATTTCTATGTACTACTTGTTTATGTTATTGGCTTTTGCCTTGCCCTCTACCCTAGTAACCAAGTGTTTTCACTAAAAATCTCCTGCAGTTAAACATTCAGAGAATATCTTTTGAAGGAGGTCATTCCGTTGAAACACTAGAAGAAGCAAAAGCAGCACTGTGGAAACTGGTAAATGGAGGTCGATTGTACAATATGGAGAAATGAAATTACCATTACAGAATGCGTTTGCAACTCAAGGATGTCAGAAGACTAGGTGAAATAGTCATGTGTGCTAGAATAGTTGTGTTGCAAGACTCAGATCATTATATTTTCCCGGGGAAGCAGGAACTTGTAAAACTTGCAAAGGTTAGGGGCGTCTGTGAGTGTGGTTTTTATTTATTTTATTTATCAGAAAACGTAACTCGTCCACCTAATTCTATGGTTTCATTGCAGATGGGGCCTCCCAAGCATCTGAAATATTTTGGTATAAATCTAGCCAATGCGAAACTCACTCTTTTTTTTTATTTGGTGAAATATTTTGGTATAAATCTTTATGATTCATGTGCCTGGAACCTTATTGAACTGCCGGCTTGGAAACCAGTAAAATGAACAATTGTGCACTTTAGTTACGAAAGTCATGTCTTGATCTATGCACATAATTGTACGTAGAAGAAAGAATGTATCGCCCCTTGGCTAATTTTGGAGTATGGTCTGGCCCCAACATGGCCAATGAATAGTTCTTGCAAAGTGTTGGTCAGAATTACTTGCAAAGAGAGAGAGATCCCAAAAGGTATGTATAGCTTTGGGAAAGAAATAGTTACGCTAGACCAAAGGTTCAAGTTTGGTCAGATCGGCTACTTCATTTCAGATGATGAACCATTCTATATAAAGGAATCAAAAATGGCGTCTCCACCTATAGCAAGCACTGGGATTGAGATGATGATTGATGAAACGATTTCTCTTCTACAGAAAAGACTGGCAAACAACCTTCTTTCTTGTCACTTTCAAGCGCCCACAAAAAAAAATGAAACTCAAGGTTATGACAGCATGTGGTAGAACCACCAGAGAAGAGGAGATTTTTTTTAACACGTATCTATTTCCAGAAAAAAAGAAGAAAAACAAATTGAAGATTTCTTCAGTTACTTGCAACGTAAAAATTGAAGCTAAAAGAATATAACACTGCCCACTCTCCAATCTACACTATGTAATTGGTTTCCACCCATGGCTAAATGAGGTTGGACCAAAATAAATCGCATGGAAACAAATAAAAAAGAGAAGAGTAACAAAAGCACTCGCATTAATTTACACTATAACATTTCTCTCCGACGGCAGAATTTTAGGTAAAAATATGAGCTCATAACAACTTTAATTTAGTTCTCCACATCTCTCCAATGACCTTCCTTGGCGCTGGATCATCCGGTCCTTTGTCTCTTTGTCCTGATGTGAAGTACAACCATCCATTCCAGAAGCCAACAAGAGTTGTCTTTACACGGTATGGAAGTTTGCCAATAACCTTCCATTTCTGCATTGGATCAAAACCAGCAGGTAAAAAACCAAGAATACAAAAAAGCAGCACATAAGAAACAGGTTGTTTTCTAGAATCACATCACGTTTACTTCATTCATCCTAATTTACCTTTTCACTTTTGACTTCACAAAATTATAAAGTGGAGAGTTAAAATATCAATTGTCTAACATCAATCATTGTTGTGAAAAGCGTGCATTCTATTGTGGTGATACCTGATTTCTACACGTAGGAGCAAGGCAAGGTAACTGCATGACCAAGGTGACCAAAGAGATTTACTGAGAGTGTGATCATCATAAGGTAAAGATGTGAAGCTAAGATGCCAGGGCAGAGTATTTGTTGGGACAGTGAACACGTCACCAGCATGTAGACAGTTCAAATTATTGATAAAAGGAGAAGAAAGTTCATGTATTTGTAAAAAAACAAATAAGAATCTTCACTTGCATAGCCAATTTTAACCTTGCAATGTCAAATTTGAGGACCAAATTAAAGGCATTGTTGAGATCTAAATTTGCGTTGTATTTGTTCTGTCCCCATGGAATCTATGTGATAGAGAAATAGATAATAGCCATACTCGGGCATATCTTTGATGCGTTATGAGTCTAGGGCTAAAGGATAATTTGTAACTGCTACACCACATTTTTGAACAGTTTCCCTCTAACAGACCTATAGGAGACTGTTGGACGAGGAAAGAGGGGAGGGTATCAATAAGATCCTAATAAGACACTCTAGATACTTTGTGTACCTTTTGTACATAGTGAACATAAATTGAAATGAACGGATATGTCTAAGTGCATCGTGCAGTTCGATGTATCTGCTAAGCTAAATGCAGCTGATTAAAGTGACAGGTCATAAGGAACCATTAAATTCTAAGATAAACAAAATAGACACCTTCTTTGCAATTTGTCGAAGATTAGAAACAATACCTGTGCATCAAACTGAAACTGGAATATTTCTCCAACAAGGGTCATCTTTTTGGTATTTGGGTGCTTCTCAGTAGTTCCTCCAACAATTACAAGAGATCTGTTGACAATAGCCCAAGCAAACTCTATATGGGAATCTGGCTTTGGCATGGGAGGCAACACTTTCCATTTCATGTCATCATCTAACATGTAAACATCATCATATACAACCTGTAAAAGCCAAGCTCCATAGTTATATTTAGCCAAAACGACATTAGAGTAAAACACACTCTCAACCCCTACATCAGCTCCAATTCTCAGTATTTTGGGAGTGTGAGACTTGATCTGCTTTTATCAATCCCCCACCCTTCTTCCAGTTTTCATCTATTAGCTATACTGGTATTCAATTTGCAAAGTATCTGAATAGTAGACAACAAAGATGAGAATGATCATATAAACTTGATGTCACTAATATCCTTCAATTGTTGCTGGTGTAGCCAAATAATCAACTAGTCAAGAACCTCCTCTTTCTTTAAGTAATAATATGCCACAAAGGGAAATATGACCTTCCATTTGGCAAATTTCAGCTAACAGGAAGAAGATCCTTTAGGACAATGACAAGCTGTTTACACCCAAAGTGAGAAAAAACATGTCTTAATCTGGCCATGTTTTTTCATGCAAAGCAAAATGAAATCCCATAAAAAGTCATTAATGCCCAAAGCTTAACTGGAACATAACATTTTAATTTTTTTTAACCAATAGACGACTTACACATTGGTTGGAGAGGATCAAGACATGTTTTGAAGGACAATAAAAATCATATTTCTGTTTTAAAAAAGAGATGCCAACAGAATTTATACTTTTGTTTTAGGAGTAACATGATAGAAAACTGGTCTCAATATTTTAATTTTCAGGAACTTCTGGGAATGTAACTGGAACAGCAATGTTGTTATCCCTTGTTTGTAATTTTCTAGTACCTCATTGGTCTTTATTAATGAAATTTCCTTATCTTATCAAAAAAATATACGACTTACAGAAGCCAAGTCACAGTCCGATTACCTCATTTCTACGCGAGCATTTGAAAATAGGTGATCCAGGTTTAGCCATAAAATCACCCTCTTGACCACCAAAGACATAAAGTCGATCATCAAACACAACACAGGCCCTGCATAAAAGTTCAAGCAAGAAGCAGAAAATTTATTCAATTATGCACTCCTAAAAACTTATCAGCTTAACATACATGTCTGGCTAACTTCTGAATACATCACACAAAGCAAATTTGGATATACATTCCACATATGTCACTTGCATTTGATTTTTCTCTTGCTAATTGTATTGAAACCAAAAGCTTTAGAAACACCAACTGTTTAGTTGAAAAAGGTTTGAGTCCAGCAACCAAGACTTGGGGCACAGTGATTTATCAAATTTGTTAATCGGTTCACTCATCCACATCCTTGAGTATATTCGCCAAAGATACTAATTGAATCACCCGCACAGATATCCTTCTCCTCTTTTCCTCTCTTCCCCTCCTCTGCCTTAATGATATGCAGACATCTATTCCTGGTCAAAGCACACCAAAAGGGGGATCTCACAAGCATCAAAAACCAGGCTAGAGTACACGAAAGAGTTCTCCACAGTACCACAATCGCTTTATACAAATTCGAACCCAAAAGAACAACGAAAGCATCACGCAGTTGAAACTGAAAGGACAAGCTTGAGAACAAAAACACCACCACAAACTATCAACATCAAAATGGACATAACATCTCCCTGAATAGAAAAGAAAACGGGCATGCAACTTCCCTCCTTATCCCATGTTATCCCCAAATAACTGTGCACTCTTGTGGATTTCAAACCACTACACAGGTAAACTATCACTAAACTGCCAAAGTTCTCATCACCTTAGAAAGATTAGTAGGAAAAACTCATTTCTTATCTTTGTTATTTTGAATTTAAATCTCCTAGACCCTAGTTATTTATCACTAACTGCTCTATACTGAATTAAAATTATATCGTCCAAGGTATTGTTGCTTTCAGGAGTTCATTCATCTCTTGGATGAACCCTACACACTGCCCATCAAGATTACCCTTTCCCACCATTTCCTTCTGAGGGTACCTTATGCAATCTTTTTGATGAAGGTACCTTATGCAATCTGCCACATATATATTATATTATGCTTATAATAATATCTGCATGAAATCAGCCAAATACCTGTGAGGTCCACCACGAGGAATGGGTATCTCAGTCCGCCACTCCGTTTCTAAAGCTTTTCCATCCTTAACAGCAATACTCCAATGCTCTAATCCTGGGGTATGTCTATTTTCTTTGCTCCCACCCATTACATGAAGCCTGCCTCTCCAAAGCTGGGTTGCAGGCGCGTACCTGAGAATCAGACTCATTAATAAGCTTATACGGTTTTACATAAAACTCAAACACACTACAGTGCCTAATTAATAAGCTTAAGGAATTTTACATCACACTCAAATTCAGAAAGCAAAGAGAAAGCACAAGCGTGAAAGAGCCATTTCTTCAAGCCTGGCAATAAACACAGTACCTTGGGACTGGCAAAGGAGGCAAGTCCTGCCATTGCTTTGTCTCAGTATCGAGAACAAAATTGCGAGCAGTAGGACCCCTGCACTGGGGACCGTATTGCCCAGTAACAACGTAAATGTATCTGCCATCAGTAACCATACCCAAGTGTGAATGAGCCATTTCTTTGGGCATATCAAATGTCCCTCCCCATGAATTGGCCGTGAAATTGTAAATATCCACATGCGAATGAACCTAATTTTAAAAAAAAAAAAATCAATTTAATGTCATTACAGGCAGAAGGTGATAAAATCTGGCAGTTTCGCATAATAAAAAGGAAAACGATGGACAAAGGAATATTATTAGGGTGATGTGCGGACATGATCAATGGTTCCATAACCAGCAAAGACGAAAAGAAGGTCGTTGATCTGGAGAGCAGCACCATCAAGGCGAGGCACAGGGGATGTAGCCATCTTCTCCCACTTTAATTGCGGGGCTGGCAAATCCGCAAAAGTAGCTGATAATATCCTCTGGGGACCGGCATCTCCTTCTTTCTTCGCCTAATTAAAAAAATAAAATTGAGAGGATAGTTGAAGGGAAAACGAAACTGTGAAGAATGCACAGTTGATTTACCTTGGGGAGAGTCTGATTAGGAAAGACAAGGACATTGGATGTTGGGAGA